TTTCTATATATACACACATATATACATTTTAATTATTTTCTGAACTATGACTTATCATATATATATATATATATATATATATATATATATATATATATATATATATATATATATATTATTTATATATTATATATGCGCGGTACTTATTGGAATACATTCAATATCAGTGATAGAGCTGACATATTTAGTTGGAGTGATGTGAGTTTGCAACCCTGGATTTCATGCGATTTGCAAGGCCGGACAAACTGATTAATTTTTAAATTTTGGATTTACATATGGTTGCGTATATCGATGTTTTTGTGGCAGTGGGAGGAAAAATTGTCGTCGGATCGCTACCCATACGTACGCAGTCATACATACACGCACGTTCACGCATTGCAGCTCACACAAACATAAACATATATGAATAGTGTGGGATTGGGCGTGTATGCCCATCCATGTGTCGTTGCGTACATACGTACGCAATTGGTCGCTGTATACAATATTAGATTTTGTAGCTAACTTCTTTCGTCTGTCGCAGTGTCAACGCACAGAACGTTCGTCTAATTTGTTCGCGGAATAATGTTTTCTCGCACACACACATATACGTATGAACGCGCGTTCACACATCTTCTATCCGTCTGTTTTTTTTTTTAAAGATGGAGTCTGTGCAAGATTATGGTCGGTAAAATTGTTATTTTTAATTTTTAATTTTATTTAATTCTGTTGTTTTTTATTATTTCAAAGCCGGTTATTTGTTTGTTTTTGGCGATTGCCCTTATAGAAATGGTAGAAACTCCAATTTATAATTGTTATTGGCATTTATGCGGTGGTATTATCTTCGCTTGTGAAGAAGGAAGTGTAATTGTGGACTGATGCGGTAATGGTAATTGTGGCGAAGTAGTAATTGTGGAGTAATGCCGCAATTTCCTTGTTATTGAAAATGTCCAAAAATATATATTTTCAGTAACAAGAAACCACCAAAAGACGACGCACTAAAAATGTGGATACACATAGGAGTAACTAACGGTCCATGGAAACAAAAAGCAAACAGATCACCATTTACATACACGAAATACTTTCAATGCTTTCTAGACGTGTATGCGAAATTAAAATCTAAACAAAAATATGGAAAATAAGAAAAAATATATCAGCCTACAACAATAAATCTAAAAACTATAATCTCTGTCTGGAGGAGTTATAAAAAATATATACAATTACTTTCCCAGACCAACACAAATTATTAAATACACGATCAGAAATCCTTTGAAATGCAGACATGAAAACAAACTTTCTGTACGTTATTTAATTTTCAAAAGCAGAAAACAAAAAAATAAATAAAATAAAGTAAAGAAAGAATGAAAATAAATAAATAAGCATAAGAAATTAATCTAAAGCAATAAATAGGTAAATAAATTAAGTAAATAATAAGAAAATTAACAAACTATGAATACAGCCATAAACACACGTAAGTGTAATAATAAAAATCATCAGCAAATAACAAAGCAATCAATAAGAAATTTCGCAAACAGAACTATAAATCAGCCACAAAACTGCATTTGTATTCACAATTATTTCTGCTCAATGTTCCCTAGAATAATTTGAGACATAACTGTTACAGCCCACCTCATAAGCTTCAGAACGATAGAACAACCCACAATGCACCATCGGACAGCATATATAGAAAGTCGAGCCAAAACAGCAGACATTGCCTGACGATTGCGCTTAAACAGAAAACAGGCTGTCATTGTTGGGTGTTGACCTCAATGGCTACTTTTTATATTTACATACACTCTATTCCTGATATCGAGCACTTTAACTCACAAATACAGTATACTATGAAACTATATTTTTATCATATATATATATATATATATATATATATATATATATATATATATATATATATATATATATATATACCCACTTTTTCACGGAAAAAACGGCATAGCATGATGAAAAGGGACCCAAATTCTAAAAAAACAAAGTTTTGTCATCAAGATATTTATGTTATTATTAAGAGAAAAGTCCAAATCATTTTTTATCATTTTTTTTAATATTTTAAATTTAAATCCTTTGTAGCACGTTCGAAAATTTGGTTAAAATCTTGTTTTGTTTACGTCAACGGCCGACGAAAAATAACGATTAGTTTTTTTGTGATTTTTTCCTGTGAAAATCACATTGACTTGGAAATTCTTTGAAAAATGCAATAATTGTCAGATTTTAACGAAATTAATAAAATATATTTGAAATTTTGTAGAAAATCTTGGTAACATATTATTTTACATATGTTACCACACACTTACTTAATTTCCTGAACATTCAAAAATTCAATTTTTAGGGCGGGGATTTATTTTATTAGTTAAAAGTAGGACTCCTTGGAGAATGTAAATCATCATTTCTTTTTGTATTAAATTTACCCCTTGCACCGAAAATCTGTTCCTTATTGTAAAGGGCATAATGCAATAAAACTATGAAATTATTTAATTTGAAAAGCTTTTAATTGCTTTGATAAATAAGATTTATTAAGGACTCTACTAGCTTAAGATGAAAATCTTTTCGATGAATAATTATTTTTTACAAGAATTTTTTTTCACTTTTTTATTTTAATTAACTAATTTGTAATATTAAAAACTCGTTTACAATTCTGCATTACTTCAAGGCAGCGGTTAAGTGATATTATGTAAAAACTACATTTACGTACCAAAAATTAAAAAGTTCATAACTGTCGTTTGTACACGAATATTTTTTTCCTGATTTCTAACTATGGTAAGTTGTAAATGATAGTATCCTTTAAATGGTCACTTGATATAAGAGTTGTCACGCGCTCTGCCATTTTTTCAATTTCATTATTCAGTTCTGTTTCACCATTAAAGTCTTTGCAATTCATTCCTTCAAAATTTCAAAGTAAGTTTTACTTTTTCTTAATTACTTTTTCACTAAATATTTTTATTTTATGTATTAATTTTAGTTTGAGTCATACTTCAATTTTTTTGTTTAACTTATTAAACTTAAGAACCTAGAGATGAAACCGAAATTTCATAAAACATCTTGAGACGTAACTAAAAGTCAATAAACTATTAAATAATTACTGAAAATATGATAATTTGTAAAGATAACAAGGTAGTTAAAAACAAAAAAAAATCATTCACTTATATTTCGTAAATTTATGTCAATTCTGGTCATCCATACTAGCTCGGAATTTATCAATACGTCAATGAATATAAGATAAAAACAGAACCCATCGTTAAGAAATGCTTGAATATTATTTTTCATCTTATACGTAATGTTTATTTTAAATCCGATTAATTTAAGTTTACTAATTTTACTCAAATAATGCTTCACAAATATACATTTTATTTTTCGAAGATTTTTAAAACCGATAATTTTGTTTTGTTTACAAATTTCTAAAAATAGAGAAAATGGCTGCTTGTAAGATTTTCTTAAATCGGCCGAAAAGTTGCGATTCCGATCTGTACAATTCATATTTGAATTACACGAGAATATTTTAATTAGTGGAAATAGAAAATGTACTCATTTACCTTTCAATTAAAGTCAAAATGAAATTTTCAAGATGTTTTTTTTTCATTCGTAAGAATTCATTTTAAAACTTAGCTATCGACAATTCAGTGAAATAACTATATATATATATATATATATATATATATATATATATATATATATATATATATATATATATACACGTTTCATTAAATAATATAGACAATGTTGTCTATTTATTTTATGTAAAAATTTTTCATATCTTCTGATAAGTTTGATAACATTATCATTAACCGAAAAATCAAATTCACAATGTTTGATCCATTATTTTTAATTAATCTTTGATAATGGCTTAGTAAAGAAATTATAGATTATATTAAAAAACAATGGATCAAATATTATAATTTCACGACAGTGTTAATGATCTGTCATTGTTATAGAAGATACATAAATCATCACTGTCGTGTCCGTTTATAGACAACACTTGTCTATATTATTTAATGAAACGTATAAAATGAAAATATGCTGCCTAAATACACAATATAATATATATATATATATATATATATATATATATATATATATATATATATGGACAAGAAAGTATAATACCTAGATGCTTAACTGATTCGTTAATCCTTTTGCATGTGAAACTAGATATTCATTAAATCTCGATTTCAAATTATTTTAATTCTCTCTGTGAAAAATATCAATCCTTAATTGAAAACGAAAACTCTTTTATCTTAATTTTTTAATTTTTTGTGAAGCAAGTCGCAAACTACGTTGCTGATATTGCAGTCCTTGAAGTAAGATTATTTTTCATGAGACACAATTTGCAAGCGACTTTACTTATTCTGTCATATCAGTTTAAAAGGTAATCCATATATTTCGATTGCAATTAAGATTCCACTGGCTCTGAGGACATCAGATAAAAACTTGGTATACCGGAGTACGAATTACGATATAGAATCAATTAAACTTCTTGTTCCCCAGAATAAATCCATTCACCAACGTTGAAAAGTTTTATAAAGAACATCAAAAATATTAGCTGAGTCTCGTATGAATGGCAATTCCAATCTCTGTCCACTTCATAGAAGTCCTGATAATCTTTCCAAAGACTATAATAAGAAGAGCTAAGCGTTTATTTATTAACGTTTTCTTTTTTCCATTTTATTTTCTCCTTTTAAATCGACAGACGACGTCTGGTGTGTCAGGAGCTATGAAGATCAAGCGAGAGTCTTCGTTATACAGAGGTTAGCGGATGCGAATGAAGATCTTTCTTAGGAGCTGACCGGGAAGCATTGCTTGTCTAACCCTGATTAAGATTGACTTGCAAGGAAAGAATGATTCCCCGGAGACTGACTTTTTTTCTTTGTTACAACTAAGAGCAACACTCTTCTGTTTTAGTGAACGTCGCCTCTGATTTGTATGTGAGAACAAGAACGTTCATGGTGACCTTAACGGAGGCAGCAATTTAATTTCATAAAGGATTAGATAATGGAATGAAAAGAATGAATTAACTAGAAAAAAAGATGGGAAAAGAAAGGTAAATGTTGGAACAATAAATGAAAAAAAGTAGGAAGGAAATTAGAATAAGAAAGAAAGAAAGAAAGAAAGAAAGGAAAGGAGGAAAGGAGGCAGACAGGAAGGAAGGGAGGGAGGGAGGAGTGCAGTAAGGAAGGAATGATGGAAGGAGGAGGGAAGGGAAGAAGGAAGAAATGAAGGGAACAGCAGGGAAGGGAGGAAGGAATGAAGGGAGGGTGGGGGCAGGAAGGAAGGAAGCTAGGGTGAAGGAAGGAAGGAAGGAAGGAAGGAAGGAAGGAAGGGGAAAGAAAAGGAGAGGAAGGAAGGAGGAAGGAAAGAAGGAAGGAAGGGAAGAGAAGGAAGGAAGGATGGGGAAAGAAAAGGAGAGGAAGGAAGGAAGGAAGGAAGGAAGGAAGGAAGGAAGAAGGAAGAGAAGGAAGGAAGGAAGGAAGGAAGGAAGGAAGGAAGGAAAGGGAAAGGAAGGTAGGGTAATGAAGGAAGGAAGGAAAGAGAAGGAAGGAAGGGGAAAGAAAAGGAGAGGAAGGAAGGAATCTAGGAAGGAAGGAAGGGAAGAGAAGGTTGGGAAGGAAGGAAGGAAGGAAGGAAGGAAGGAAGGAAGGAAGGAAGGAAGGAAGGAAGGAAGGAAAGGGAAAGGGAGGAGGAGGGAAGGAAGGAAGGAAGGAAAGAGAAGGTAGGAAGGGAAATGTCGGAAGGAAGGAAGGAAGGAAGGAAGGAAGGAAGGAAATAGAAGGAAGGAAGGGGAAAAGGATGGTAGGAAGGAAGGAAGGAAGGAAGGAAGGAAGGAAGGGGAAAGGAAGGAAGGAAGGAAGGAAGGAAAGAAGGAAGGAAGGAAATAGAAGGAAGGAAGGGGAAAGGATGGTAGGAGGAAGGAAGGAAGGAAGGAAGGAAGGAAGGAAGGAAGGGGGAAAGGAAGGAAGGAAGGAAGGAAGGAAGGAAGGAAGGAAGGAAGGAAGTGGAAAGGACGGTAGGGGAAAGGAAGGAAGGAAGGAAGGAAGGAAGGAAGGAAGGAAGGAAGGAAGGGAAAGGTGAGAAATGAGGATAGTCATAAATATTAAAGTGTACTTAAATTACAAAAAATAGAAATAAGCGAGACAAGAAAAGAAATATAGAAATCAAAGGATGAAATTCAAGCAAAAAATAATAAGAAAAAGAAGGAAATGTCGATAAATGAAAGGAAGAAAAGAAAAAAGGAATGAAGAGAAGGAAGCAAGTAAATGTAAGAAATGACTGAATAGGATTGTTTTACAAATAAAATACAGAAGGAGATTAAACCAAATTAGAAATAAGGGTCGGAGAGAACAAAGGAGGAAAGGATGGATGGATGACAGAAAGGATTAATGGATGAAGAGAAGAGAGAAATGGACGAATAGAAGTAGTGATAGGCGGAATGAAGAATGGGTTGTATGACTGGAAATATATGAAGAGGAAGGAACGAAAAAGTAAAAATGTTAGGATAGGTTTGTCATATATATAAAAGGTGTATAGGACACCTCAACGTGGTGGTATAATGGTTAGCAAGAAAAATTATGACTGTGTAGTGTTCGATTCTCACTAGGCCCGCCATACAGTCGGCCTTGTGCTACATTTAAGCTGCGTTTAGAAAATCACTAGCGAACCTCGACGTGGTCTAATGGTTAGCAAGCTTGTCGCACGAGAACAGGTACAACTATGTAGTGAGTTCCATCCACAATGGAGGAGCCATATTTTCGGTCTTGTGCCACATCTATGCTACGCTTAGATAAATCAGCATAAAAGAGGGATATGCTTAAAAAATAAGGATAGAAAGAAGAATGTATGCAGAAGAAGGAAAGAATGAATGCGAAAGAAATGGAAGGCAATTAAAACAAGGTAGATATCAAAAGAAAGAAAATACGGCCTTAATAAAACATGAAGGGAGGATATTATATCAAAGTTGAAATACATGCCAGAGGTAAAGAAGAAAGGAATGATAAATATAGAAATGAAAGAAATTAAAACAGACATAAATGATGAATGGACGGAAGAATATGATCATTAATGAAAATAAAAATGAAGGGTATTAAAAGAAATTTGAAAAGAGGAATGAAGGAAGGAAGAAATGAAAGATGGAAGGACAGATCAATATACAAATAAAACAAGTAAATTAAAGGAAAATAGGAAAGAGGAATAATCAATGGAATGAGGGACGTTCCATTTCGTTCCCCTCCCCAAGAGCCGTTCCTTTGTGAAACAAAAACCAGAGTGGATGATTCCTCGATCACTACAATCTTAATATCTCCAAGTTATTGCTCTGATGATAACGATACCATCCTGCACCTCTTACCTCCTCCTCTCACTTCCATAAAACAAATCATTCAGTAAGTCTCTACCTTGGGTGACTCTTGGGTTTTGCACTTAATGAAGACAATATGCTGACAAAGACAATATTTTCAAGAGCCGATGTAAAATCAAGAATTAAAGGTTACTTAAACGGCAGGAAGGCAAATCTTGAAAAATTCATAATTGACGCAATACAATCTTTCAAGACCGATTTTCCAACAATTAATTTTGTGATAGACTTCTTTTCTTTAAATGCTATATCCCTTCAAAACCTAAGAGATCATGGCTTTTTAGAGGTGCCTTTATTTTATGACCTGTGAACAGTAATTATCTATTGGTAGTGACTTCCCATTGTCTTCCCCAGTGATTTAAATCCAATTTTTTTTGCCTCTTGAAGTTCGGATGCCATTCAATGCAACAGCGTTGTCTAGTTTAATCTGCTATTTAAATCATAGCTGGAGAGAGAAGAAATACATTTATGCTTTCCACAAAAGCAGGGGTAGGAAGAGATCACAATAGCTGAGGAAGAAGTTTCATCAGTATTTGCTCGATAGTGGACATATATGACTAAGCCGGAATTTGAACTCGAATCACTAATTCCATTTCTTCCGTGCCTATTACTGTTACGCTAAACACACATCTAATAGACTATGTCAAGCTTGGCAAATGTCCAAAGAGAACAACAAAAACAAAGATATAAATAGATGAGGCGGGCTAAAATCAGTGCGAATGCAGAAAGAAAATAAAGTTTTCAAAGGCGACAACTCGAAATTTTTTTGTGATTGAATATAAATACGAAAGAATCTAAACGAAATGAAATAAAGAATGCACAGATTTATGCAACACGTTTCCGTATAGAGACTATTTTTTCATAATCCTCTTAATGTGTTTTCCTATCAGTATCTGTCTATATTTCTGAGATGAGGTAATTTGTACACTATTTACATCATTCGTACAATTGTCCTCATCTTTTTCGTCATTTATTACAAAGTTTCGGCCTTTCAGTATCTGTCTATATTTCTGAGATGAGGTTTTATTTACACTATATTATTCGAACTATTGTCTTCATCTTTGTCGCCATATTTATTACGACATTTCGGCCCTTCAGTATCTGTGTATATTTTTTAGATGAGGTATTCTGTACACTATTTATATTATTCTGACTGTTGTCCTCATCTTTGTCGCCATATTTATTACAACGTTTCGGCCTTTCAGTATCTGTCTATATTGCTGAGATGACGTATTATTTACACTATTTATATTTCGGACAATTGTCTTCATCTTTGACGCCATATTTATTACGTCGTTTCGGCCCTTCAGTATCTGTCTATATTTCTGAGATGAGATATTCTGTACACTCTTTACATTATTCGGACTGTTGTCCTCATCTTTGTCACCATATTTATTACAACTTTTTGGCTGTTGTACGATTCGGTCTTCTTAAGGCTGTTGGAATGTCGCACTGAACCATTTATTTCGTTCACTTGGGTAGATTGTTCTAGTTCCACGTGCCATGTTTTTAATGGATGTCATTTATCAGTTATCTCCTGTTAATTCCTTTTTCCAAGTTCTCCACTGCCTTAACCGGGTATTGAAATTTGGGCCCTGTCACTGAATCTAACCACTTTATCCACTGTGAACGTGGAACTAGAACAGTTTACCTCAGTGAGCGAAATAAAGGGTTCCGTTCGACATTACGTGAAGAAGGCCGGACAAAGATGAGGTCAATAGTCCGAATTATGTAAATAGTGTGTTTATCATTTCTTTCTTTTTTTCTTTATTTCATTCTTAATTTGTTTCTTTCTAAGATTCTTTCTTTTGTTTTTCCTTCTTTATATCTATTTTATCTGTATTTCCTTCCTTTTCAGTTTTATATTTTGCTCCTTCTAATATTCTTGGTTCATTCCTTATTTCTTTCTTGCATACTTTCTTTCTATACTTCAATTTTATTTTACGATTTTCCTTTTTCCTGCTGTTCTTTCTGTTTTTATTTATTTGCTTTGCTACTTCTCTTTTTTTTTTGTCTTCCTTTTGATGTTCCTGTCATTCATTATTACTCGGCATTCTTTTTTGTCTTTTTTGTATTTTTATCTTTCTTTTTCCAATTTTTGTTTCATTCTATTTATCATTATTTCATTTTTTGCTTTCTTTCATCTTTTCTATTTTTATGTCCTTTGTTGTTTCTTTCATTCTTTCTTTAATTTTTTTTCTTTAAACTTACTTTTATTCATACTCTTTCTGTGATTTTTTTTCTTTCTTTTATTTCTATCATTCTTTCTGCTTTTTCTTTCTTTAACCTTTTCTGCCTGTCATTCTTTTTCTTTTGTCTTTATATCTTTCTTTTCCCGTTTTTTTCTTTCCTTTTTTTCTTCCACTTTTCTAGTCTTTTTTATTCATTATATTTTTTTCTTTTTCTATCTTACTATCATTTTTTTCTTTTTAGTTTCTTTCTATGTTTTTCCCCTTTCTTAATTTCTTTCTTTATCTTTCATTTTTGTTTGTTTTTCTATCTTTTTTCATTCATTCTGCCCTTCGTAATCGCGTTCTTTCTTTCCTTCTTCATCGTTTTTTTCTTTATTTTTATCATTCCCTTTTTTTTCATTATTGTTTTTTGTTTCTTCCTTTCTTCTTTCTTTATTTCTTTCTTTATGTCATTCCTTTGTTCTTCTCTTTCTATTATTCGTTCTTATTTTATTTTCCGCCTGTTGCTTTTGGGAAAACAAGTCTTATTCCGATATTCAGTAGTCCTGACACATCTTCATAATCTCCCCTTCGAATTTAATATTAACTGAAGGTGTTGCTTCAGATGTGTCTAAATTGTAACTGACGCATTAGACGTCTTAATGTTTCCGATCAATACCCAAAACACGCAAAATATTATGTGAATAGGTAGTTTGGGAATGGATAGTCTTAACATAATGACGCACGCCATTTTCTTTGGATAGAGATTGTGATGTTGCTCATTTGTCTGATTAGAAGAACACAAAATATAGGACCATGACTATAATAAAACAATGATTCTGCCCAAACATTTTGTTTTATAAAAATAACCCCAACATTAGAATGTTTTTGTTAATCACAACTTTATACAATGAAATACCAAAAGTATAATGATCACTTGAGTTAAATGCAATGGTTGGCGATAACATTGTGGCACCATGCATAAGTTAGCAAGCTGAAAAGAAATATTCATAAATATATGATTTGTTTTTTACGGTTTGTCAACCATTTGATAATTATTTAGAGCTGAAAAATATTTGGGTTTTGAGAATAATTCTTTCTTTACGTTCAAGCGATCTAGAAGAAAGAAAGAGAAGACAGAAGAAAAAAAAAGGAGAAAAATAAATAATACGAAACCAGGTCGTAAGCGAGCACACACACGCTCGACTGATACATAACAGATGTCAAAAATATCAGGTCAAGCACCTGACCTACTTCCGTGTCCACGAAAAATGGAAGTTTGTTATCAAATGGTTGAAGAAACAAAGTTTAGGGACAATGGAAAAAAATATGATAGGTAACAGGTGGGAAGTGTATCTAAGGATATGAAGACAAACCATTAATACGAAAACACAGGCAATTCCAGAATTGAAAAAAAAGCCACACAAGATGATGTTGGCTGAAAATGTTTTTTTGAGATAATGAAGATTTTTGTTATCAAGCTTCGAGCGAAAGAAAAAGTGAAATATTTTTATTCGTTCACGAAAACGACACCCAGTATGAGAAATCCCTTTCTTAGGTCGTATCC